TGCTGCTGATTTATCTCCTCGTAATCACCGTTTACGGCTGCGTCGTTGACAGTCAATGACACGGACTCCCGAATCGGATTTTCATAGATACGCAGGAGCTCGTCCGCTGGATAGAAGACGTACATTCCCAGAAAGCGTAGCCGTTATCGCTGCTGTCGCTATCGTTGTACCATTGACCGCGGTCGTGGCCGCTGGCGTAGCCGACGCCGTCGCGGATTCCGCTATTGCAACCGTTGCTGTTGCCGTTGCTGTTGTTGCAGCTGCTGCTGCTGCTGTTGCTGCTGCTGCTGCTGCCGCCGCACTTCTCGGATCCGCGCGAGCCAACATCGCTGTCCAACGATACATCCTCGGTGATGCTGCGTGCGGGAATGATATCGGCGTTTGCCGCCGTCAGGAGACGCATGATTTTCTTTCTTTTTGAGCGATTAAAGCGTCGCCCCCGCGATGTATCGCCGGGTACCGCACGTGCGACGTGACGTCTACGTCGTCCTCGTTATCGTTGCGTCGTTGTTTTTTCCGCCACACCGACGCGCGACGCTCCGTCGATTCACTGTAAACGGCCAGGAATAATCGATTTTCGATCGCATTTCTTCAAATGTTCAAAAATAATTGCTTATTCTTGATGAACAGCACGGATTTTAAGAACTGCCACTAGTTTTCTTTCCCCTCATATTTCCTCGTCTTCAAATTATTTTTTTGTTTTGTTTCGGAGCAGTACATATAAATTACTGATTTAAATAAATAAAAATAAAATAAAAGTTCTTTCTAGATTTTTTTACATAAAAAGTGTACAGCAATCAAGTATTTAAATTGCTGACTTAATTTAAATAAAAATAAAATAAAAGTTTTTTCCGGTATAGATTGTTTTCGATATAAGAAATGTACAATTTAAATATTTCTTTCTAAAAAATTGATCATTTTTTTACGCTTCGATTATTCAGTTGTAGCATAATAATAACGTACGAACGAAATAATTTATTGTCTATTAATAATAATTTGTCAATTCTTTTCATACGCTCAACTAAATCGATTATTCGAACTGGCCATTCTTACAGTATATCTTATTGTTTTTTATGAGATGTGAATAAAGTTTTTAGGACTCAGATTTATGTTGTTGGTAATTTTTGAGGCCTTTTGGGCTGAAACAGAAAGATTTGCTTTGATAAGAGATTAGCTCGATATTCGTTCACTTTTACGTGATTGTGTTTATATCATTTTATTTCCACAACTTTATCTTGTCGAACAGAATAACAGTATAAGTTCTTGAAATAAAGAAAAACTTTCGTAAACTAATTTTGTTAAATTTATGTAACGGGATTAAGAAGTAATTATACTTTATACAGCTAATCTTTTCTTTTTATTTAATTTTATAATATATTAAAAAGTAATATACCAAACATTTTGGAGTATTTTATTTGCAGAAACTTTACTAAAAGAAAATGAAGAAAGAGTGAACAGTTTTTTAGCGAAGTAATCGAATTACACGTGCAAAAATATATAATTCGGAATAGATAAACTTTGTTCATCATTTTGAAGGAAATTTAAAATTTGAAGAAATCTTTGACACCCTTTCTTTATTCCTTATTTTAGGATATTTTCTGTTCAAATAGGACAATTTCAGACGCGGTAAATAAATCATCAGTATGACTAGCTTGCTAACTTTTTCTGAAAATTTCAGAGTGCAGACGATATAATTCGGGATAGATGAACAAGCTTTTTCATTGTTTTGATGAGCGAAAATAGGTCTTAAAAATATTTAACGTTCGTCTCTCTCTCTCTCTCTCTCTCTCTCTCTCTCTCTCTCTCTCTCTTCATTTTTCTTGTTCTCTTCCTTCCTTTTCAAAGCATATCTCCGTTTTGAGTGCATGTCTTACATATCTAGGAATACAAATCATACGACAATTTGCCAGAGCAACAATAACTCGTATCTCGGAATTCGAAATGTGCTAAAATGGCAGTAACGGAGCAAGGTTTAAAAGGTAATGCGATATGTGATATATGCGTATACACCTGTAGAATATATTCCATGCGCTCGCATATGTAAGCTATTTTAGGATCGTAGGAGCTATAAAGAAAATTCTTTCTTACTCTGCTGGGATGATCCGCGCGGATCGTTTCGATATATTGATTGTAAGTGTATATGATTCACGGATTATCGCCTGCTATATAACTCGCGGCAATTTACGTGCACTTTTCGACGTGGGAACCGGCGCACGTGCCCCGTGGAAGAAACATATCAATCAATCGTGATAACACTCGGAAATCTATCCCGGCCGATAGTCACGTACCGGGATAACTCGGTAGGTTGTTCGTGGAAACATACATACACATAGCACGTTACCAATAAAACACATAAAAATGTGTGTATCATACACATTCGGATTAAACACTCTTACGATATTTATAAACAACTTTTTTGAGCGACAGATTATTATTTCTTTCTCTATTTCAGTTGGATCATGTATAATCAAATTATTCATGTACATGCATATACGTAAATATATGCGTAATATATGAATGAGGGTAGTTTGGAAAGTTCTCAGCCTGACACAGAAATGACGCCACAAATATCAAACTGCCATAATTTTAGACAAGTTTGATCCTTTACAGGGCTACTGTTAAAATTTCAGGCAAATTCCATGAATTGGTCCCGCAAGCACCGTATTTCACCAGATTTTACGTGATCTGATGAAATATGACGCTTGCGGAACCAATTAATGAAATTTTGTGACTGCAACTGAAGAAATATGAGCGGATGCATTGCCATGCTGGAACCAAAAAGTTGGTTGCTTTACATAACCGAAATAAGAAATTAATTAATGGACATATCTGTCCGAAATTTTAACCTGCGAAGAATCAAACTTATCTGAAATTATAACAGTTTCATATTTATGGCGTCATTTTTGTGTCAGGCAGAGAATTGTTCGAACTATCCTCCTATATGTTTATAATATACACATACTGAAAGAAAAGTGGCTGCTGCAGCAAATTAGATGGTAAAATATGGCACAGCATTTTTAATTGGCTGTAGCAGCTAATTTTTGGTTGCAGTAGCCAATTTTTAATTGCGTTAGCCTATCCGCAATGTCAGTATAGGATTTCGATGGCAGTGCATCGCATGTATGTGATTATAAAAATTATTTTTGAAGAAGTTAAATAAATTTATAAAGGGATCTTATTAAGAGAGAGTAAATCAAAGTCGTATTGATAATTTATCAACAGTGTTTTAAGAATGTGTATATAAGGTGTCTGGAATTAAAATGTCAACACTTCGGGAGCGTGTAGGGGATCGATAAACTAAGGAAAAAAGTCCTGTAGAGATATGTTCGTTTTTGCTTCGTTTTGGAGAAAATCGCAGAAAAGACAAAACATAGTTTTCATTTTTGTACTTTCTCATTACTTATTCACGTTGTATTTATTCACTTGCTTAATGTAGATATTGTTCAAAATATTGGCTTCTTGCAGCAATGCAAACATTGCATCTAATACGGACAGCTCATGTTGCAGCTAAACACTGATCTGGTGATACTTGGTGCACATCAGCCTCGATTCGATTTCTCAATTGTTCTCTTGAGTTGATTGACGACACACAAAGAAGTCCAGTGGTGTTAGATCAGGTGATCGGGATGGTCAAGGTATTGCTCCTCCACGTTCAACCCATTGTTGTGGAAAATGTCTGTCTAGCCAAGCTCAAGAAGTTCTGTCATAATGAGCTGGATACCCATCGAATTGAAACCATATTTCAATCCGTTGCTGCAGGTGAATGTCTTCTAAATAATCAAAGAAGTCAGTCTCCAAAAAATCTATACATCTGGCTGCATTTAATCTGTTGGGTAAAAAAAATGATCTTACTAGATAAAAACAAACAAAAAAAGTTTTCATCTGAAAACGGAATTATTATTAAAAATTGCTTGTTAATTTAATTTAATTCGTGATATTATTACAGTAGTTTAATTGCGTTTATAAGTCCGAAAAATCAATTTGGCGTGCAGTTAAAAT